AATGCACATAGTAACGCCAAATGGCCGACAATTCACGCCTTTGCAAACTATTTGCGCCGCTACCATCACTAAATGATGAATCCACACTTGATGCAGAGTCATCCAACTGCTGCTGCATTTGTTGTTGCTGTTCGTGTTGCATGTACTGCTCGAATTGCTCTTTAATTTTAGCTAAATTCAAAAAGAAAATAGTAAAAAAAAAAGTTCTTCAAATAAAATCTTGTTTGTCTACTAACTAAAATAGTCCCATATATAAAGATTTTTGCCGAAGAAACGAGTCGAGCGAAAACCACATAAGAAAATACACTCTAGACATTTCACCAAACCGTCATCTCCGCAAAGTAAATTTGTCAAGGTGCCAACATCGCGATCACGACTTGGTTTATAANTACACAATTGCCCAACTGGTGTTGCAACTCCGAAGTGGGCACTGTATCCTGCCGTTGTACACTTGGACTACGCGTGCGTGGTGGTGTCTGAGTAGCAGTTGGCACCTCAGTATTCTTAGAATTGGTTGAAACGCGTTGCCCCACGAGTAAACGTTCGGTAGAATCATCGTCGACGCCTTTGCCGAGCCAACGACCACAAGGAAATCTATGTTTTGGAGTATTTTCAAAAATAGCATAGTAAATAATATCGAGTATCGTCTCTTTTATTACAATTCACTTACTTATATGTGTGGCTGGTAGCCTCATTACGCATAACTACATGTTCCACTAGCCATTTGTGTGACGGCCCAGAGTTATCGTGGCCAATGCGCATTGTTGTTAATAAACCGAGGTTCTTATACTGGAAATAAACATGTTTATAAACTATACTGCAATAAATATGAATATTTTTAGAAATTCACATGAAAAATAAACTCCAAAGATCCTTTAGGCACAGGCACACGCTGCGTCTCGTTCATTGTACCAGACACTATTATCCAAACATTGCTAGAGGTATGATAGGAGCCATATTTACGCGAGGGAAATATTACTACACGATAAGGTAGTTCTAAATAAAAAAAAATGATACATACAAGCGAGAAATTATGAATAAGTAAAAATTTAGAGTCTTCAAGCTGATACTGCTTACTTGTAGTGGGATACGTGTTAGTAAAGGAGAAATAATCCACTGTATTCAGTGTAAGTAGATGGTAGAGGAATTGTTCTTTTTCCTCTTCGCATCGCAGAAAAGCATTGCGTTTGTAGAGTGAACGCAGCAATGACTCCTCAGAAAGTAGAGTTCTAAAATGGCGCGAAAGCAATTTTTTCTCAAGCGATAGACGAACCCAAGCGCGTGTGTAACCGATGTGAGTCTTAATATCTGCCATTGCCAGTACGTTTCTAAGCGTAAAAATATTAAAAGTTGTAAGTACGTATTATCTAATGGTGGCATAGTATAGTTTTATTTACATACTTGACATCGAACTCCAATGACTCTGGCAACGGGCATAGTTGCTCGAGTCCAACAAATTTGTTACGATCACGCGAACGACTGCGATTCGGGCTTGGTGGATTATCGATATCCGTTTGGAATGTAGATAAATCTATAAAAGTTATAATAAATTATTGTTTATATAGACATTGGGCGGTGAACTACTCACAGTCCATGCGTTTACGCATTACATTCCAAGCGA